GACGCCATAAGGTCTTCCATCCAGTGCCCGAGGTCTTTTGGGCGCTCAACCCTCTGCTCGTAAGAGGTGGTTTCAGCAAAGCACAGCTCTGACCCAATTTTACTGCTGTTTTCCTTTGAGGTATGACCCAATTTGAAGCAACAAGTCTTCCCTAATAACCAGGGCTGCAGCATAACCACAGGAGACATTAACATTCAAGGGAGTTGGGAAGGTTTTCTTTAAAAAAAGATGAGAAAACACACAGTACTATGTATGCATGAAGAGGGCAAGCTGCACTGCCAACCTGGTTATCTCTGGACCGTAGACTTGTTGTGTGCACTCACCCAGACGCTGGCTGCCTTCCAGGATAAGAAAGGGTTGATTGGAAGAGATAAAACTGATTTTAACGCGCAAGTACTTGTTCACATGAACATACATCACTACAGAGAATCCAGATGCGATACATCAAGCCTGCAATTATTTTGTTTTGCTGGATCCTTTGTTACTGTTAGAAAACAAAACAGCTTTTCCACCCAAGGTGGCCACTGTCTGGAGACAGAAGGCCAAGACTCTGCCGGCTTCTCGTCGTGCTGTGGTTTGCTGCTGATGCCCTCCAGATACTGCTTCCTTTAGCCTCCCCAGAATTACGTGAGAGATGAGATGTGGAGCTGTCCTGAACCCTGCTTTTCTTCATAAGCTGGCAGCCCATGGCTCCTGCAGGGTTCATGACCAGTCAAGGGAATCAGGAGTGTCCCACAGCAAGAAAACAAACGTTGCTCCAATTTCTCATGCAACTGCCGCAGACGCTAGGAAGCAATGGGGTTCCTGTCTGCTAACACAGCCACACCAGTTGCACCATGGATCTTTCCTGCTGCCTCAAAACCTTGCTTCTCCAGGGGTCCCACCACCACTGACCTCTGCAGCTCCCATCTCAGCGCAGGTCACAGCGAGTGGAGCCAGAGCAGATGTGCTTCCCAAGAGCTAGCACGGTCTTCCAGCTGGGAAGGTCACAGGGAGGAGATATCTGGGTGCTGCTTTCCGTTGTGGTATTTGGAAATTATACGTTCATATCTGACCTCAAAGTCTCCATTTTTCTCCTTCTAGACAGACTCGATGAACACATTCTGCCATGCAGCCCCGGGTAAGAGAAAAAACATCAAACACAGTGGGACATTGCTAATGACAGACTGTGCTAACGATAGATACGCCCATCTATTTGTAGTCCCACCACATGGTCATGCCCGAGTACGGTCAAAGCTTGCATCACAACAGAAATCCACTTACTTCAATTCCCTCCCAAGTATGAGGGAGAGATATTGGCTGTGCTGCACAGGAAAGTTTTACACACCAATTGTTTATGATACCTCTAAACAGTCAGCCTTCCTGAGTCTACTCGTTTCTCCAGCAAAGTACCCAAATATCTTAATAAAATTTGATAAAGAGGATAATCAGCATCTCCTCCCATCAAACCTCTGCATCACCAACACCTCCAAAACCCACAGGGGCCACCTTGGTCTCAGGACACTGTCAGACCACACAGTAACTTCTCATCTTCCCCCACACATATCCCCCATTTGGATTCTCCTACTGAATTTTCTAGTCAAAGGGCATTTACTGACTCTGAAAACAAAACCAATCTTGTTCTCTGCCTCAGTAGCACATAATGTCAAGGGTTCATGTAGAAAGGGCATGGGATGAAAGAAGACCAGAGGACACCAGAGGGCTGGAAACACTTCACTGTTAGGCTTGCTGCCCAGCTCCCGGCTCTCCCTCAGCTGGAGGGAGTCTCCTTTGGTAAAACAGGATTAACATCAAATTTCATACATCTTCACTAAAGACATGCAACAAATAAGCTCATTATTTCAAATATATTTCAGATAAACACACTTACTTAAAAAAAATAATATCTCCTTGTGTTGATTTGCAAAGTGTATTCTGTGGAAGGCAGTGTACAGAGAAGACACAGCTTGAGAGCATCTTTCTGCCTGAGGGAGAAGATACTGATCCACACCTCTGCTCACAGTGCTTTCCTGGAGCTCGGCCTCATTACAAGTGGCAATTGCTGGACACACACACAAAGCAATGAAATCCCTAATGTCATCACCCTGGGACATGGCTCCCTTGCCAGCACCAGGTCACCCTGCTCTCTGGGAGGCCTGTCTCAGAGCAGGATCTGCTCACACCAAGGAGGTGTGAACCCTGCAAGGTTGTAGGCTGTCATTAGCAACATCTGCTGTGGAGAACCCACCACTCCTCTAGGCACATTGCAAGGTCTCAGTTAAAAATATCCACCTTGGTAGGTGTAGTTGGGCAAATCCAACCTGAAGCTACAGACCTTCCTGCTGCCAGAAGTCTTCCACACCACCACAAGGTTATTAATGAATGTTTCTGCATCTCAGGCAAGCTGAACAGACAGATCATCCTTAACCCCACCAAGGCACATACCCACACTCCTGCAAGACCTCTGTCCACTCCTCTCACGGTGGAACAGAGATGTACCACTGCACCAGAACTCCTGCCCTGTGTCGATGCAAGAAGCCACCTCTTAGGAAAACAGATGCATTTTCATGGAGATACCACTGACACTGCATTCACTGCTATGGCAGCTACCACCAACAGTATGGTCACAGATGCCATCAGCAAGACAAGCACCACTTCCTAATCATGAGGACCAAGTGGACACCAGCAGAAAGCTGGGTACCTGCCATGTGCCTCTTGCGAAGGAGGAGCACTCAAGGGTCTGATCTCAGCCAACAAACAGACATCTGTTGATACTGGTGGCTAAAGAGGTGTAAAGTTAGGAATTCAGCCCATAAATCCACACATTAGAAATACTCTATACACAAGAATAAAATGCTGCCACACTGCAGGTGAAAGTTGTTTTCAAAGCTTTATTCCAATTCCTGACGAAGCTGTTCTGCTGTCAAACCACCTCACAGGATCACAGAACATTAGGAGTTGGAAAGGACCTCAAAAGCTCATCCAGTTCAACCCCCCTGCCAGAGCAGGATCACCCAGACCAGGTCACACAGGAACGTGTCCAGGTGGGCTTTGAATGCCTCCAGAGAAAGAGACTCTTCAGCAGCTGGCAGCTCACAAAAACCTTCTGGCACTACATGAGGATTTCCACCTCTTCCAAAGAGAGCTCCATCAGCCTGTGGACAGCCAGGAAGGTCACACTGGTCCTGCCCTGGGTATGGCCCCTGTTCAGGGTAGAAGACCATCCAGTCTCCCTAAAACTCTCCCTAATAGAAAGCAAAACGGCTGTCCTCCTTGGCCATGGGAAATTCTATGTGCATGAAGGATCTTCTCGGTTTTATTTTTTTAATTTCTTTTCTAATGCTGAAGGCACATCATTCCTACAGCACAGGCTGAGCTCAGGGGACTCCGTGTCAGCTGGGCAGCTTAAAAACCACCGTCTGATGAACCATGAGCATGAGGCTTTGCTCCATTTATGGCAGCACTCCTTACCCTCCCTTCCAGTTGGAAACTACATGTTTTCCAAGAGAAGTATAAACAGTAAATGATAGCTTCCTATAGCAGGAAATGCCTTTTTAATCTGAAGTGAAAAATCGCACAAACATACTTAAATCTATTACAGGTAACATTAGTCATTTGTGAGTTTTATAAGGAGCACTCATTTTGACTGGATAATTTGTGATTTGTATTGGGAACCTTTAGCTATTTAATTCCAATGGAAAGCGAGTAAACCTCTAAGCCTTCATTTTGTTTTGAAACATTCTAAAAAATAAGTGTATTTGGCAGGCCATTCTAATGTATAATCATTGAACAGACATTTATGAAAATGAAAGGTGGATGTTATTGAAATGGAAGGCTTCACCCAAAGGAGATTTCGACTCTGTGCTACTCTTGCTTCAGTCAATAAACCTTCATTGGCTTGAAGGATCTGACCCAGCACGCAGCCTGCATGAGCATTGCAAGGTGCAAGCAAGAATCCAGACTTAACATAAGTGAACTGAACCCACTTATCACATCAGGGATCTTTTAAAAATAATTTTGTCTCACTGGTTTTTTAAAAACACAGAATAATTACACGGGCCATGGGGATGCACCAAGAACCAAACCTAAGGGCCCATCCGCTGCGGAGCCAGCTGCAAGCCTTCCCAAGCAAAGCTGACACAAGAACACACCAAACAGAAGAGGACCTACCTGTTCACAGAGAGCAATAGCTGGTCCATGCATGCTTTGATCTTGTTTTGTGCTTCTAGGTGTGTCATGTTCTCCGTGCTCTCTCCATTAATAGCCAGAATAATATCTCCTGGGCACAGGTCTGCCATGGCTGCTTTACTGCCAGGGTTAATCTAGGTAGGGAGAAATAAAAGGATTACTTAAAACAGTGCTTAGTTTTAAAAAAGTGCAGTTTCTTGGAATGAGCAGCAGATAAAGAGAACAATTATTTCTAGAGAAGATGTGTTTTGTCTATGCCAATGGCATCTACCAGAGATTGGATGTCAGAGCCAGGGCTCTCAGGTCAACCCCAGTTCTCCAAGAGCCATACACTACAACAATCCTCTTTTAAAGCAAGGGATTTCTGTCAACCCCCATCAGCATGCGACCAGGTCCTCTCTTCAGATTCATCTCTTGCTTAAAATAATGCAATACTCTCTTTCAGGAGAGATGTTTTAGATTCCTTTGGCTTGCAGGCCTTAAACCGTGCTGTGAGAGTCAATCCCTCGGGAGCACATGCAACCCTCCTCTTTGGCTGACTACCCAATTAGAAGATGAGGGCAGTCACTCTAATTCCTTCCTGCGAGAGCTTACATTTGACATCAGTTTTTCCTGACCGTCATTCAAATGACTCGTCTCTTTCTAGCATGGGGTAACACACAGCTCGTTAAGGCTCCACAACTCTTTCCTTCTGGTTTTGTAGGAATGCCAGAACCTTATAAAACTTGTAACTTCTTTCCTGCGGAACTAATGACAGGTCCAGGTACTGCTTGTGGTCAGCCATGACATCAGTCCTGCAGCCCTTAAAAAGAGTTTCCTGAGAAATTACCATTTCATTTACATCAGCCCAAATGTGGTTTTAATTTTTGTAATAATATAAAATGATGCAAGGTACAGGCAGGACAGGTAAATGTGTGTTTAAACTCTTAATAGCTACCTGCTTGCCCTCCAATTTCCTCTTCAGTCATTTGGAACATCTACTAATGGCCCACTAACCAACCATGTGGTTTATTGAGTGAGAAAGCACAGCAAATCCGACTTCTGGTCATTCGTATCTCACCGCACGCAGAGTGCGATAGTGTTTGATTCTGTTGATTCATGATTTACACAGGTATAATCCCCCATCACAAGCAATGGGTTTCTGCTCCATCACACCCTGCTCGGTAAAACAGCCAGTGAGAGGCACCCAGCGTAACATGGACCTGCTGCGTCGCTCCCCTTGTGATTACAGCCACCACACCACCAAAACACAAACCTGAAGGTGTTCAGGGAGCTCCAAACCACTTTTTGTATTTAAGTAGAACTGGCAGCCTGAATTAAGCCTTTTGTTGCATTGTCAGAGTAAATCAACATTTACCATTTGCTTTTCAATAGTTTTAGCCCAGGCTATTTTGCTCTAAAAAACCTGTCCAGCCTCCTTCTCCCCTGTGACTCAGCTCCGAGCAAACAAGGGGAGGTATTTCTGAACATAGCACACATTGGCCATAAAGCTCTGACACAGGACATTTCAACCCAGGATCGGTTTATTTTTCCTCTGGCATCCATTTGTCCTGTTGGTTTTCTGAATCTGTGTAAGACGACATGGCATTCACAGAGCATCGGGCTCCTACTGCGTCCACAGAAGCTGCCAGACCCACCAGAAAGCCAACCAGAAGCTTGACCAGCACCTCCAAGGAAGCATCTCCTTGCACTTGCCCATCGTTATATACTTCCCTTGGTGTCCACCCTGCAGCCCCAGCTGCCAGCAGACTTTTGGACTAAGAGACCTCCAGTTTGACCCAGGACAGCTGTATTTTGTTCTTGTCTATTCAATGCTGTCTAGATGTCTGATGGATTTTTCTCCCTGCACTGATCTTAACCAGATTGTAGCTTCCCTGGAGAATAAGCTGTTCATAAATGGGGCTGCTAGCTTTTTCCTATTTTTAGATTCTGGTTTATTTCAAATTATTTTGGCAGTATCGTCATATTAGCATTTTATGGTAGCTGTGGAGATGACTGAGGGCTTGAAATGGAGCTGCAGTCCAAGAACTCATTAGTTTGAGATACAGCAACGGTGTCACAGCAGCTCAGAAATCAGTACTGTAATGTTTGCCAGGTCCAAAGTTTGTATTTTAGTGAGTAATGTTTAAAATGCTTCAAACCAAGTTCTCCTAACCCAGCTGTGCAAAGCCTTTGACTCCAAACACGCCACAGAAAAACCTGGTTATGGGTCAGGGCTGAATCCAGACCCACAGAGCCTACTGCAAAACCAGGATCTGCATAAGGACAAGGATCCAATTTTAAAGATAGTTATTTTTGTACCAGAGTCTATGATTGGAGTGAAACATCCAAGGAACATCCAGTCCTCTGTTGTCACACAGAGATGAACAAACACACAAGGAAGGAGCAGGAGGGATCTGGGCATCTTGTTCAGGCATCCATCGAGCTACACAAGCAGCCAGCACCCATAACCAGCAGCAACTGGTTTTGTTCAAGTGGTAAACCTTATTTGTCATTATTAGCCCATTCTCCAGGACTACGGCTGAGTGACCTAACTACAGCTGCGTACATTGCCCACGGGTGCAAGATCTCTCTGGGGCAGACACGTTAAAGCCAAGCTGTCCACAGAGGTCTGGGGACAGAGCTTTTACCAGAGGCACTCACTCATACCATGAGGAAGAACTGCAGTGCGTGCGATGTGAACAAAATGGGCACAAATTCAAGAGTAACCGGATAAGCCATGAAGTTAAAAACCCTGCAAAGAAAACATGCACCAAGCCACTCAAGGTTTCTGTTCTTCACAAGGACCCTCCAAAGGAACCAAGGTTTGAGAATAGGATAGGCTTAAGAGAAACAGTGATAAGATTTTGGGGGTTGTTTCTGTTTGTTGGTTTGCTTTTGGTTTTAAATTCTCCATCAGTGCTAAGAACAAACCATTTTAAAATCAAGGTTGAGTAAACACAGACCAGAATGGACAGATTTGTAACTCAGAGTGGTGAGAGTGGTCTCCTCACTGCACGCTGCCTTTCTACAGGCGATGCTGAGTACCCAAAAGCTGAGTCTCAGCCCACACAGTGGGGCCGAACACGGCCTCTGTCCCTAAGGGCCTGCTGCACCCAATGTGTGCCATGTCTCATCTTGCCCATGCTGGGTGCCTGCCAGGATTTGGGCTGTTTGGCTGCTTTTTCTCCAGCAAAAAGCTCAGGAAGGGCAATTAAGTCTTAGCAAGAAGCCAGCCCAGTGCCACTTGGCCCCATGCACATGGTCGTATTTCAGGGCTGGCGCAAGGGTGGAGCATGGCGGAGAACCCCACACATGGATGGGGTGGTCTGAGCCCTCGTGCTGTTGGCAGCTCACGGGGTCTCCCTCCCTGCAAGGCACCCACGTTCCAGAGTCTTCTGCTTGTGCTGCGGAGTGACAGCAACTTTGATACATGTTCAAAGCAGCCAAGTGTCTGGCACAGAGAACCAAACTCATAGCAAACACTGCAGGCTTAAAGAAACATAAATATTTTTATTAAAGTTCCCCTAAACGTTTTTCTATTTTCAATGAGAAAAGATCCCAGCCTCATTTTGAAGCTTTGAGCTTCCAAAGCCTCAACATTACACAGCATTGATCTGAGCACTGATGTGAGCTCCAGGCCACCAGTTAACTTGTCCTGCACTTGACGATATTTTCCCACCAACATAAGTCTAAAGCAAACTGATGGAGCCTTGGGGTGAAGTGGCACAAGACAGCTTAGAAACCCACAGAGCTTGCCCACAAGATGGGAGAGGACCTTCTTCTTGCTCTTTTCCACTCCTAAATGCCATCCGTCTTCCTCCCTTATGGCAGCCCTGGTGCTCAGCTGGTTTTTAAGCACAGCCCAAGATGCAACTCAGCAGAGGTTAACTGTTTTCCAAGAGTGAATCAAAGCAACTCAGATTAATGGGTCCAGTGTACTTGAACTATCATCTCGGACCATGGGAGGGCTGGCATTAGCTGGTGGTGAGCTCTTCATGAGATGATTAAGCAGATCCCACATAGCATGGGATACGTGAAATACCCACAACCCATCACCTCATCACTTGTGCATCTTCAGCAG